AGAAGTGCAAAAACGCATAATCGCACCGGCCCGCCTGGTGCGTTCCAGCCTGGGTTTTTTTTCTTCAGTCAGATACTGGCCCTGAATTGTACAATGATCCGCTAAGATGCAATAAGCATGCAGATCAGCAGCTCCAAGGCGGTACCCCTGTGATCGTAATAGTTCTGGTAGTGCCACAGAGAACAGAGAAGTGGAGAGGTGGAACGGTGAGTAGAAAGGAAGTTCGACGGCACTACCCGTAACTCAAAGTTTCTTTTTATTTCATTATGTGAAAGGATACAGAAATATTTCAAGTAATTCGGATTTCTAAAACAAAAGCATTGCCAAACCTAAGCATGGTTAGTCAAGGCTCCAAAAAAGTCACCGCCAGAAAACGCAAATCACCAACGAAACGGATCGTAGACATACTAGCATTCTTAGTAACAGGGCTTTGAAGCAGAGCCAGGTGCTGTAATTTGAGAAAGGTAGGTTGTATCTAATAAAATAGGAAGACTAAAGTGATGAACCAAGGACCGCATATATCGATGAGCGAACCCTGATGCAATACGTTCTTCATCCCTTAGCCATAAACACAATGAGAAACATGTGCACGAAGAAACGGGAATCATCAGCACAGCCTTTTACCCGGAATTTTTGTAGCTGATGGTACCAGAAATTACTAGAACAATCTTTCACAGATCGAAGAAAAAAAGCAAGTAAAATATTCACTTACCGTTAGCTGATGGCGATTGTTTTTTTACAACTGCAGCTTCTGCTGCTTTTTCGACATCACCACTTTTAATTTCCCCTTTAGCTGCAAAAAAGTTTTTTTTAGAATAAAAATAACAGACGCTTGAAATATCTCTTCATTATTATGTAGACGCTGCTTGTTCCGTTAGAGTTGCAATGTGCACGACGTCGTCGTGGCCACAAAAGGTAATTTATGCTATAAGTGGAACCCACTGCTTGTTTAGCTAATAACCGACAAACGTTGAGCGTCAGTGGTAAAAAAAAAGAAAACAGAGATGAATTCCATAAAGATAGCAAGAAGGCGCAGTATGAGATCCTCCGCCACAACCCCACGTTAGTTCTAATTTCTAATTCCAAGCATGGCCTCAGCCTCTTTCCAGCTAATGTGCCCGTTTTCTTCCTTCTCTGCTCAGAATTCCAAATATCCGAATTGGTGCAGGTAAAAGTATTGATAACCTTCTGTAGTGACTGGAATATCAGCACCACTTTTGGCTCTTGGATTTTGGTCTTGCGTAGTTCCCCCAATTTTAACCGTTTCTTTCTTTCCAGGAGGTTCGTTTGTGGAAGATCGTTGTTGTACAGGATTCATTTTCCCTGCCCGATACCTGCTGTTCGCTTTGGAAATACTTGAACTTGTTGTTGTTGCTGCTGACGTTGGCGTTGGCGTTCCTGAGATCACTGCACATTTTCCTACAGCTTTTGCTTTTGGTCTGTTCAAAGCGCTGGATTTGTTTTCTGCTCGCTACTTCGCTATTTTCTTGGCTTTTAGCTATATCTACGAAGACTTAGGGCTTCTGCTGCTTTTCTTTCAAAAAAATAAACCAAAGAAAAAATTTTTTTAGTCCTCCGGAATTTTCGCTCGATGCTTTTTATTTTTACTCGCTAATGAAAAATCCCAGTTATGTTGAAATTTTTGATTAGCATCATTCCAGTGATCTACTGAAGTTTCAAAATTATCGGAATGCTGTAAACTCTGCTTAAAAAATGATCGCCAGAAAATTTTACTAAAATTTGTCATAAAATCAAATGAGAAAAAAGCAAAATTTTGAATTTAACATGCACTATTAAAGGAATTTTAGAATTTGGCCAAAAACTTGATAATCCGCTCCAAAAAATGACTAAAACTGGTCGTATTTTGAAGAAGCACAACCTTTTTCGGAGGCTGTACTACCGGAATGTTTTGTTGAGGGTATCCGCAACATATTATCTGTTGTATTTGGTGTTTCTGCAGTAACGATATCTACTTGGGGCGTGCTGCCTTTCGTAGATGGGCTCACCGAACCTGCAAGTTTATACCAGTATAAACACGAAGCAGTTTCGAAAGTTTAAGTAAAGCAACAAAATTGGACTGGTATGTTAATTCCGACTGTTACGGCATACACTGATTTGAATTTCGGTTAAGTCTCAAAAGCAAAAATCATTAAACGGCAGAATAATACAAAACTGTGGCATAATCGCCAGGCTTTCGACATGGAGATTCCTGCATCTTTCGCGCTAATGTACCTTCTCTTAAGAGGATGTCTACTACCCTTCTTCGTTGGGAAATCTTTCAAAAGCGTGGTATACTGAAATAGAATGTGCAGTGATGCAAAACTTATTCATCATATATGCAGTGGTTGTAAGAAAAAATAAACACGCCCGTCAAGTCGACAAACAGTGCTCATGAACTGGCCACTGGCTTTTGTAAGTAATTGAAGATATTCAGGAAGCGAAACTGCAAAAAAAAAGCAAACTGTCAATCCAAATTTTCAGTTTTGGAGATAAGCAGAAGTGAACAAGCACAGCACCAACTGTCCCACATGCAATACTTATAAGTGCACATATCCATAACGGTAACCTCGACAAATGAAGCACTGCAAAAACACCTTTGACGTTACCTTACGAAGAACGGAGCTCGCCACACTACAGAACTGGAAAAATTTGGAAAAACATCAAACTGTATCTGTCATCGGTGAGCACCGCATATTAGTGAACGTAAATCCGCGAGACCGAAACTAACCCTTTAGACGGTCTCTCAGGTAAAAACAGTAAATGAAAGCGCAACACAGATAAATAAGGATGGCAGGAGGATTTGTTACAATGTGTTGCGTACGTGGTTACACCTTCATTAAACCGAGTATTGGCCCGGACCAATGGACCCCAAATATTAGCGGAGCATGCTTCCTTGCAGTTGCAAATTTCCCTTTGATAACGCTTAGATTAAAAATTAAATGGGCAGCTGAACGAAGGACTAAACAGAAAAAATGCTGACTTAGTGTCACAAAAACATAGGTCACTCGAGAGAAGCGAACCTTCTCCAAAAACCTCAGGTGTGAAAACTTTTGGACCAATGTGTTGCATTTTTTTATCGTAACCTGAGGATTTTGGCTTAACCAGAACGAGTAAGG